CTTAAAAAGCTGCTTGGCCAAAATCGAAATTGATTTAAAAAATATAAAAATGTACTTAAACATTAGGAATTCCTATATTATTTTAACTTCGAACACTGCTGTGACAATTTTGACAGATTTTTCTTGACATATCCCATAACCTATCATTCTGCATTAAGAAATTGCTAATGTCATTGATTTTGCCGGTTATTGCGACTAATTTACACTAGGTCAAAAAGGTAACCCTTCTAGACTGGCCTATAAACTCACCGGACATTAATCCTATTGAGAATTTGTGGTTGTACTGCCCTACTATAAACGCATTTAGAATTTAGCGTTTTCTTGTGCTATGATAAAGCTATGGACATTTTGTATCTTAATTCAACAAAGAAATGCAGTAAACTACATATCTTATAAGTTAAATAAATCAATAAAATACCTACTGCTTTTTATAAAAATGTAGTTTAAGCTAATTTTCCACAAATTTCTTGTTTAGCAGTTACTGCCTTTCTCCATAGTTGGGCAGTATATGCAAGGACAGGTTAAATAATACTAAAATATTTTGAAACTAGTACTCTTTGAATTTTTTTTCAATAAATAATATTTAACGTAAATCTATTTGTGTTCACATTAATTCGCACAATACTGTAAATATTATTCAATACATAGCATTAAAACATTGAAGATTTCACTTGTCCATCAAACATAAAATCTTAATTCAGTAAATGAATTTCAGTTGACAATCGGAAAAGTAATTAAGGGATTCTTTATTTCTAAAAGAAAGTATATTATAAATATAATAAAATAAAATTGAAAGTAGGTACCGCTTACAACAATTACACACAATTACTAGAAGACAGTTTTGTCATGCTTTCGAGGCGTTACTCTTTAACATTTATCTACCGATAAAAACAAGATTACTTGTTAAACATATGTTAAAACGAAAAGAGTGCCGGGTACCTACAGATCTAAAAAAAAGTCGTTATACCTAATTATGGATAGTAAAAATCGCATTTGCATTTGCAAGAACGGAATCTGAATACTTACGGTTTGTTTAATTATCCAACTTATGTAAAGTGAAAACACAGGTTTATAGCTAATGAATAAATTATCTTTTTGTTTAAAGTTTGTTAATGTTTATTGACCAAATAAACCAAAAACCATTAATCATGTTTAGCAATGGTGTTAAGATAACAATTGCTAGCGCAAATTATAGTCTATAGACAATAATCATAATAACATGGTTTCTATGATATTTGAATATGTGAAAATGGTTTATTAAATAAAATTAAAACAATTACTAAATTGTGATAATTTTAAATTAAAATTATCAGTAAATATAATTATGTATTTAAATGCCTACAGGTTTATCATATAAAAATAAAAACATATTTATCTAGCATTCGCAAATATCTTAATAACTTGAGAGAAGTAAACATTATTTTCATTATTTTAGTTTTAGTACATTTTTGATACTTTTAGGAGAAATAGGTATTCAAAAATTATAAAATAATACGCTAATAGTTCTTTTTAAGGTGCTTATTGCAAAATGATAATAAAATAATAGAAATCGGTTCATTTTAAATTTGCATATTTGAAATTAGTTTAATAAATAAAATTATTAGACTAATAAATTATTATTAGTAATAATTAGTAAATAATTATACTGGTAGACAATTTAGCCACAAGATAACCACATACTTATTCGCTATATTTTGTATAGATGACCTTGTTTCCTTTTTTGAGGGTCGATTCGCGGTATAATTTTACCTTATGCGCATAGTCAGTTCATAAGCGGGGAATTTATACCATAGACATAGTAAGTCAACTAAATAAAATATAGGATATATCAAATTTTTCTAAATCATTTGCTTACATCGCCTAGGTTAAGCTTAAGTAAATAAAATTGCCATAGTATGCATATTATGTAAAAGCCACAATCCACACAACAAGTTCTGTTCTATCTCATGCTAAAAAATACTAAAAATCACTGCAACACTGCACAGAGTTTAACGGCGGCCATTTTTGTTGTTCACAATTCTTGTGCTTTGGGTTTGTGCTGTTTAATAATTGTTTTAAACGTTGGGTTTCTTACAGAGGCACTTGTAAGCCTCAAATAAGGCCTTTAAGTGCTAAGGACAACCATTTTACTCCTCTTTTATAATAAATATACCCTATTCTATCAGGGCTGCCAAATGACAATTTGAAGGTTAATTTGTGGGTTATAATTTAACCTTAAAATTGACATTTGACAGTTTTATGACAGCCCTGATAGAATACAGTTTATTTTTTCACAATAGAGGAGTAAAATGGTTATTCTTAGCACTTTAAGGCCTCTTTTAAGGCTTTCTATTAGAAACACAACGTTTAAAACGATTATTAATATGTATAAACAGAGCACAAACCCAAAGAACAAAATTTGTAAACAACAAAAATGGCCGCCGTTAAACTGTGCAGTGTTGCAGTGATTTTTTGTATTTTTAGTACGTGATAGAACAGACCTTGTTGTGTGGATTGTGGTAAAAGCCACCAAAAATCTCGAATACACAATGCCAAAACAATTGGTATATTACCTAGGTACAACAAAAAACAAAGAAAATGGTTAATTATAAAAACCATCTACATTTTAGTAGTATTATGTCTATGATAAAAACCTTTTGGCTACGTGGTAGAAATACGATGTTGTCAAATTCTTGCTGTTATAAACATGCCATTATAAAATCAAAAATATCATTATTTTGCGTGTTTATTATTGTCAAATGCTTTTTTTCATACAATTAATATACAATTTATTAAAACATATTTATTATAATTCCCAAATAGGGACAAATATATGGTATTTTTTTTAAAACCGGCATTGACGCCACGCATGCGCCTCAATGCAATCTCCAGTGTGATTCTCAATTCCCCTACTTTAACCCCACAAAAAGAAATAATTTGTATCATAAGGTTGTTTTTCTGTAGAAAGAACTCACAGTTTCCTTATAAGGATTAGGGAATTTTTAGACAGTTTGGACTCTAAACTTTAAACATAAGGCACATTTTAGACAGTTTTAACTGTGAGAGGTTTTAATACAGTTGAGATAATAAAATATATATTTTTAGACAGTTATAGAACTATAGAACTTACAGTTTCTTTATAATCTATGCTTACTTTATTATAATACATTTAAGACAATACTAAGACAAACAAAGTTTTAGGACATTTTTAGACAATTTTGATGCGGGTTCAAAACATTTCCGAAGATAACACAGTACAACCCGATTTTCCTCCCATGAAAAATTTTAACAGATTTGAAAAATAAAGGTTAAAAAAAAACGTACCCGTGTCTCACCGTTTCACGAAATCACGTCATTTAATTTTTTTACGCAGGCATTCTTATTATTTTAACCTAAACAGATTTTTAATTCTCTATTTTGTTATAAATCATTTTTTTTCTTCAAATATTTTATGTTTTTACAAAATACAAAAATCATACTCAAAATAACAATTTAATTTTTTTTAAGTAAAAAAATATTTCTGGTTTTAATTTTGATTTTTTTTTAATATATTACCTACTGTATTATAATACATTTAAGACAATACTAAGACAAACAAAGTTTTAGAACATTTTTATAAAACAACAGATTTGTATTTATCTTATATTAAATATATGTTGGACACAAATCTTGATCTTTTAGTTTGACGATTATACATTGCTTTCGAATCTATGGTGGTATCACAACCTAAAAACACCACTTGATATACAGGGCGTTTCACATTCGTGGTCCATCGGATGTTTCTGGAGAACGGAAAAAATATAGATTTGAAATTTAAAAGCGTTTATAATCCATTAAGTCTATTTTTTTAAATATGCAACATAAAATGCAACTTCCGGTTTGACCGGAAGTGAGATCAACTTTGTTATTTCAAATAGAACACCCCATATAAATATACATTTTTAAATTCTACATAAAATTCTGAATAAAATTACTATACCATGTCCTATACCTAAAGTGAATAGTTTTCTAGATATTTGCTATTAGGTTTACGGATATGGGGGAAAATGTTTGGAATCTTAAAACATTGTTTAAAAAATTCCATGTCAATTCTTTAACATTTTTCAACAAATTACCCGAGAAACCCGAGAAATGTAACAACCGGTATGTTAAGAAATTCACATGGAATCTTTTAAACAATGTTTTAAGATTCCAAAAATTCCACCCCATTTCAGCAAACCTAATAGCAAGAAACTTTCTTGAAAAAAGTTATAGGCTATTTTTGATTAACGCGCATTTGTGATATTTTAACGGAAAAAAATAATAACTCCAAAACTATTTACTCTAGGTATAGGACATGGTACAGTAATTTTACTCAAAATAAATAATCTTAATGGTTGTTCATTTATTCAGTGAATAAATTTTTCATAAAAATATACTGTCTAGCTTAGCTGTTATCGAATCTGTTATATTATGTGCCGAATACCGTGGATAACATTTTATTGGATCGCATTAAAAAAAAAATGACGTGATCAGAAAAAACGCCGAGACACGGGTATCATTTTTTTAAGTCTATTTTCAAAATCTACACTGAAAGAAATTTGTTGCTAAAAGTAAATACAAATTTATACTAAAAATTTTATACTAGTGCTTTACACATTTATAGTACTGTTTATTATGAATGTATGTTAAATTTTGTAATACATTTATTGTAAAGAAGATATGTTAGATCTAAATAAAAATAAACTTACCCTTACTATAAAATGTAAACTATAAGTGAATTACAGCAAAAAAATATTGCTAGAAACACATTTATATTGCTAGGGCAGCAATAGGCTGCTAACCAAACGAATATATTTGTTTTAGCAATGTATGTGGTAGTCCATATATGAAACATAAAATATATTTGCCCTAATTATTTTTTTATTTTACTTTAGTATATATTTCTTTCAGTGTATAGAAATTTTTCATTGGAGGAAAAAAAAACAAATTTTGTCGTACTGTGTAATAGTTCATCTGTAATAAATCTTTTTGTTTTTCAGATCCTACACAAAATGGATGATATATATTGGAACTCCATATCGTTCGGCAGTGAAGAATCCCTCCAGGAGCCAGTCAGCAGGCCCTACGTGGACCCCTGGGACCTGGAGAACTACGCGTACATCCGAAGTCATTTGGACGCAGAAATCAGTTCGGAACAGAGTACAGGCGACGAATTCGCCGAACAAAATTCGACTTCCTTCAGTTACATCCCGGGAAGCCGCGGTATGACGCCACCGAAACGTCATGGTGGCGGTGGTGGGGGTGGGAAATACGATTCTCTGATGACCGAACAGGGGGGTTATGCGGCTATAGATGAGGTGAATATTTATGACAGGAGGCCCAAAATTGGTGGGAGGAGAGTTAGAAGCCACAGCAGAGATATCGACTTCGATTCAGGTAATTAAAACGTTAAATTTTAGTTTAATTTAATTCTTAAAGATAAATTAAATATTTCCCCACATAACATGCTATGGATATGGATATTTTATGGATTTACTTGATATATTCATTTATGTATATCCATTTGTGAATATTTTATGGATTTACTGAATATATTTTTTCATGTATATCCATAAAATGTCCATAAATGGATGTACTTGATACATTTTTTCAAGTATATCCATTTATGGATATTTTATGGACATCCTTTGTATAACTTTTATATAATAAAAAATTATAACTATAGTATATAAATATAGTATATTATACTATAATAGTATACTATAGTTTTAATTTTTTTACTGAAATTTTTAAATTTTATATTATAAGCTTAGAATATACACTGGAATCAGTGTATCCTTTGAAAAATCTTTTTTTCTTCACTTGTTTGAAAAATTCCCTCTTGTATAGAAAAATAATAAAATTAATTAAAAAAATAAATAACTTTTAAACAAAAAACTAAGTACAAGACAAACCTATAAAAAATGAAACTATGTGGAAACATAAACACTGTAATATAAATTTAAATTTTTATTATTGCTGTTTAATTTTTGTGTAAAATTTATTTAAATTTTTGGGTATTTGAATTAGTTTTAAAAAAATCCCGTTTTGAGCAATTTTTTCCAACGATTTTTTGTTGAAAATTCCCGCTACGCGTCTGCACTATTTACTCACAGTATTTATAAGAGAACAAACTTAAACTTAACCTAACAAATATGACAGGTAGTTTAAATTTTAAAAATAATGCACAAACACCATGTGACATGCGCATTGACTTGACGTTTAATTATCGAAAATGCAGAAAATCTTGTTTAAGTTTTTAAGTTTTGAGTATGTTTTTGATTTATGACTGGTTTGGTAGTGGTAAGGCGCCTCCTTGCTAAATTTAAAAATCCGCTATGGGTAAGAATTTATTTTTATTTCTTTTTCAATGAGAAGTGCATTTATATATTTTTTATTTTTAGGAAAATCAAGAGGCGTCATCTCTATTTTGTTTATTTAAAAAAAAAAATTTTTTTTGTTTGTTTATTTTTAAAAAATAATTTTTTTTGTTTTTCAAGATTTTTATTACATACCCTAATATAATAACAATATGTTATGGATATCCATTTTCGGGTTTTTTAATATACATAATATATACCATGGATATATTATGGACATTCAGGAATATACATCATGGATATACTATGGATGTCCATATTACGAGTTTTTTAATGTACTTGATATATGTCATGGATATATTATGGACATCCAGGAATATACATAAGATATACGTCATGGATATACTATGGATATCCAAATAGAGGACAAAATCATATTTTATGGATATCCATGGTATATCCATACGATATTCGCGAATATACGAATATGCATAGATGTATATCCTATGTATATCCTATGTATATTTTCTTGTTATGTGGGTCGGAATGTCTAAAAAACAAAATCCTTTTAAAATTATTTCTCTAACTTAAGTAAAACGTCGCATCGGTCATAATATCAGAATTTGAATCTTTCTCTTTTTTATAGAACTATTAACCAATTAATTTTTGTGGATCTCCATTGGGGATTGTAATCCAGCAGGGTTTTTAATCCAGCTGGATTTTTGCTGGATCAACATTAGGGTGCTTATTATATTTTAGAGCGACATTTTTTTATCCAAAGTCCCACCTGAAAATCTTGTAACCGATCAGAAAACAAAAATTGTATGCTATTACAAAGCTCTTAATCTTTATTTTAAGCCGTTGCTATTCAATTTTTAAATATTTCCCTTTAAAAACCATTAAAAAACAATGTTTCATTATTTTCTCCTTCCGCTCGTACAGTAAGAATATTTTTTTCGAATTTCGGTTCTAAAATATTTATACAGGATGAAATTATCTTCAAAAAAGTCTATTTAAGCAAGTCTGCAAGTTGAATATGTTCTTCACAAATTGACGTTCTACTCGAAAATCTTCTATAATAGCAGTAAATCGTATTTGGAGACTAAACTATTGATTGTAGATAAAAAACGTAAATAACAATTTTGTAGGGAATTTTGTGCCCTACAATTTTGTTAAGAAATATTTTTCTGTATCACTTATCACTCTTTCACGTAACTCTAATAGTATAGTTATTACAGTCGTCAGAAACTGAATTTTTAATAATTTGACACTTTGAGTGGCTGTACAAGCTAAACTATAAGTGATACAGGAAAATATTTTTGAACAAATTTGTAGGGAACAAAATTCCCTACAAAATCGTCATTTACGTTTTTTATCTCCAATCAATAGTTTAGTCTCCAAATACGATTTACTGCTATTTTAGAAGATTTTCGAGTAGAACGGCAATTTGTGAAGAACATATTCAACTTACAGACTTGCTTAAATAGACATTTTTGAAGATAATTTCATCCTGTATAAATATTATAGAACCGAAATTCGAAAAAAATATTCTTACTGTACAAGGGGAAGGAGAAAATAATAAAACATTGTTTTATAATGATTTTTAAAGGGAAATATTTAAAAATTGAATAGCAACGGCTTAAAATAAAGATTAAGAGCTTTGTAATAGCTAAAAATTTTTGTTTTCTGACCGGTTACAAGATTTTCAGGTGGGACTTTGAAAAAAAAATGTAGCTCTAAAATGAAGCACCCTAATCAACATCAATCTAGTTTGATCCAGCGCGGATCCAGCAATTTATAAATTATTTATATATTATATTATTTTTTTTAATACTTTTTTAAAACTTTTATTATTATTTAATATTTTCAATTTGTAGAAAATAAAAAATAAATGAAATAAAGTTTGAATTCGACATCAATTCATTTAATTTATTGATATTTCTAACTAAATTTTTTCATTAATATATTTTTTGTAAACATATTAATTTTACAAATTTTCATCTTTTGTTAATTTTTAATCTCTCTGTGTAATATAGGTTTTTTTTTTAATAAATTAGTTAAAAAACTGATTAGCTAGCTATACTATATTAAATTTCTTAATAATGTAAACTCAAATAAATGATAAGTAAATAATATTTTTACAGGACTGAATAAATTTTCTGAAGAAAAGCGTTGCACAATTTCATATATTTCAATTTTTAGTACATTTATCCTCTTTTAAACCCCATAATAAGAATTATATGTACTGGACAATTAAATATATGTATGTAGAACATTAAACTAATTTCTACTTAAAAAGCTTGAACAAAATTAATGTAAAGATTTTAAGATAATTATCTTTATTATTTTTCATAATAATTATTATCATAAGTTTTATATTTTTTTGTTCCCAATTTAACCACTGTAATGTAAAGTAATGTTTATAAATAAATTAAAATTAAAATTCAGTCAAATTACTCACAATTTTCAAAAAAAAAACCCGGGCTACAACGCGCTGCGTGAAACTTTATCAAGCGAGAGCGAAAAGTGCAGTGTAGAAGGGGGTGTCGCAAGCGTGACAGAACGGTAACGCTGTCAACGTACTACTAAAAAATGAATTAGTCAAAAATGACTAATTGTCATAGCGAAAAAGCCGCCATTAATAATTCTCGTCAATAGCAATTTGTATCCCGAACATTTAGCAGTCAATTTCCATGTAAAGTAAAATTGTCCCCTGAATCAGAAAATGTCGTCAAAAGTTAAAAAAGTAGTTTTTGAGATATAGTCAATTTTCCATTTAATATGGAATTGAATATATCACAAGTACTGCTCTACTTTCATAATTTTTGACGGTATTTTCGGATTCAGGGGAAAATTTTACAAAAGAATTGGCTGTTAAATTTTGGGATACCATGGTATGCCATGGTTAACCATGGTACAAGTGAAAAAGTAGCCATTAATAACTGTAGTAATTAGTCATTTTTGATTAATTCATTTTTAGAGAGTAGACTTTTGCGCCATTATTTGAAAAGTAAATTATTTGCGGATACGCAGGCTGAAAAATGCGCTGGATCCAGCAATTGCAATCCATAGTCTCCATGTATATATTTACGCATAAAAGTAGACTTTTAAAAACAATGTGAAGCAATGGTACACACAATTTTATAAATTATTTATAAGACTAAGGAATCCAGAGTAGGTTACCATAAAATTACATACAGTTACTTCTGATGAAATAATAATTATTATTGTTTTAAAATCAAGAAGAAACTGGAAATTTAAACATTTATACTTTGATTAAACTCATTAACTTTGCACAAGAATAAAATTACAAATTAGATAATTTTGATTTTTACTTTATTAGTTCGAATGATAAGTTACTTTGTAGTTTAGTATACAGAGTAGGGTCAAACATCTGAAAACATATCAAAACCAAAAATTCCACATGTGAACATTTACCCACATTTTATCCAATTTCTTCGCTACTATATTTTGTTTATATAATGATTTTACAAAATTAGAAATATTCTTTTACTATTGACCTTTTGGAGGTCAAAAGTAGATCATAACTCACATTTTATTGGACAGTTTTCTAGAAAATATTGAAGCATTTTATTTTGTGAAAACCAAACAACATTGTAATGAATATTTACCAGGCACACTTGACTGTAATTAAAATGTAAACACGCACTTACGTTAGGTATTAAAATCACGTTCGTATGAAAAACATTTGCATTTGTGTACGAACCGCAAAAAGGGAAGTTGCAAAATCGGTCGTTAGCCATAAACAAATTAAAAAAGGTCGGTTTCCTTCAAATTAATAAATATAATGTTATTAAACTAACTGTTGAGCAATTAAGAAACTTAAAAGCCTTGCATATTAAAAAATTTTAATTTTTATTATCAAGATAAATAATTAAGTATTTGATCTTATCACAATCGAATTACATTTAATAACAACCAAAATTATTAACAAACAATTTTAACAATTTAAGGTTCCGAATACACTTTTTTTTAACTGTGGAGAAATTTTGATACATTTCTCCAATGAGACCACACGATTTTAATTTTCTCCACCGGAGTATTTAACATTACTAT